GCGGGCCGGCGCTGGGCCTCCCGGGCCCCGGGCGCTCGGCCCCTTCGAGGTGCCTGTAGCGGGGAGGATTCCCCGTTCCCGGCCTGCGCCGCGCTGGCCAGGTTTCCCAGGCTCGGGCGGAGGCGCTCCCCCAGGACCCTCCCAGGCGCGCGGGCGACCAGAGGAGTAGGGGTGAAGGGTGCGGTGTGGGGTGGTGGGCGGCCCCCGGGATCTCTACGTCTGCCAAGCAGCCGCAGGCGGTGCCGGGGAGTGGAGAACCCCAGCGCCCCAAAGTGGCGGCGGAGGGTGCTCTCCGCTGACTCCGCAGCGCTGGTTACCCGTCTGAAGTTCTAGCAGAGTTGGCTAACCTCCACCTCGTCATCTGAGGCAGCCAAGCGTTTTCTCATCCCCTAGCCTTGTACCTATCGTGAGGCTTATGGCACAGTGGGGAGCCGTTTATGAGTCACTGTGAATCTCAAATTCGTTTAACTTTTCATTTGTCCACTGCCTTCGAACTTTCCCAAGCTCTGTTAGAGCATTGCCACATGTCGCCCACCGTGGTCCCTATCTGCCTCAGCGTTTCACTTCTCATTTTTCAAGAGTTTCCCTTTTCTCTTTCCCACCTTTAGGCCTCTGGAAATCCAGTTAAGGGATACGGAAGTGGAGGGAGCAGCTGCTTTGCGCTGAAGGAAAAAGTAGCTCACCTGCTAAAGCTCCATCTGCTAGAGAATTGCCCATCCCTCTTTGGGGGCCTTTCAAGAGGACTCAGCACCAGAAGGGCTTTCTGCCGAAGGTGAGTTCTCATGCACCAGTAGCCACCCTTTGCTAGCTTATGCGAGTGAGTACATGTCCTCTGCAAAAACCAGGTTTCTGATCTGAGTCTTTAGATTTTTCCCATAAGCTAAGCGTCACTCCTCCATGGATCAGTGGATTTGGTTGTGATGGCTAGAGCTAAGGACAGTGGACTCGGATAACCAAAGGGCAGGACTTAGTCATACCAATGGCTTTATTACTGGGAAGGATGTTAAAGAATGAGACATCCTGCCTGTTGAAGTGTGAGGCCCAAGCAGCAGTAAGGCTCAGGTAGGTAGCACTGATTCAGTGATTAGGGTTCCTAGAGTGAGAATCTAGTGAATTGTTTGCTCCGAGGAATGTTTTATCTGCCAGTACCAGTTGATTCCTCTATAAAGTGGACCATCTCCTTCCTGCTTACCATTAGAATCTGGTCTAAGTTACTGTGTTGAAAATGGTACCTGTAACTTTACTTTTAGCAGTATGGTATTCATTAAGGTAAAGAAAGCACCATGAGCCAGGCCTTCTGCTTAGTGGTTATCTCACTAAATGTCAGGCCCTTTGCTTATAGGTTATTTCAGTAAATTATTTTTCTCTTAATATTTCCTTTAATTCAGAATATCACTTGGATGGTAAAGTCTACTTTAACATCTTTTCAAGGTAATATGTTTCATTTCTGACAGGTTTTATGTAACTGAAACAGTGCAACAGCTTCTGGGTGGTCTGAGGATTACAGAGGTAAATATTTTTATTATAAGTTACCATTACTATTAATAAGTATTTTTTTATTTTTTAAAATTGCTGTCGGCTTACTGTTTGATAAAAGTCCTAACCAAAAAGATTAATTCAGTTCACTTTTACAACAGATAACAATATACTCTTTAGATACACCTAAAAGAAAAACCACTATATTTGCCACTGTAGAAGGGAAAAGATACTCTTGGTGTCCCTACTGTTCGGTTATGATCTGTTGGCTTTGGAACTTGAGGCTCGGTGGAACATAGCAGTCTGTTTCTAAAAGCTCCATCTCTATTGCCCATAGTTAATGGAGATTGCTTTTGAAAGTTGGGTTTTCCAGTATGCCCCAGTGACAGAAGACCTTACTGGGGAGCAGCTAATGTGCAATATGGCTCTATCATCTCGTGGAAAGAGCACTTTAAAAAAAATACAGAAAAGATACCACTAAAATGAACCAAGAATGGCATGATTATTGTCTGTGATATACAGTAGAAATCTAGTCTGAGAAATTTAATCCTTATGGGTGAGTTAGAAATACAGTAAGGTCTGTGGCCATTATCTCTTTTCGCAATTCTAAAGCAGGACAGAGAGGGTTTAAAGGTCTGGTCTTTGAGGTAGACTGCCTGAATTTCACTCCCGAAGTTTTCTAAGTCTAAGTCCTATCATAGATTGTTATTATACCCACCTGAATGTAAGCTTCACAAGGGCAGGGAGTTTAGTTCTTGACTGCATGTTTGTTGCTGTATCCTTGGTACTTAAAGAAGTACCTGGCACGTAGTATATACTCACATACTGATTGTGATTATTAGTTTTTTATTCAGTGGATGCAAACTTGCTCAGAGCCATTGCACTTCCTTTTTTTCAAATACCTGGCATATTCTCCCTGCTCCTCATCATTCAGGTCTCAGCTCAAATGTTATTTAGCACCTCACACCCCATTCAACATGGCTTTCAACATTTATCTAATAAACACCTGCATAGTGGTTAATGTGCCAGATACATCTAAATACTTTACTAATATTTAACTCACAACAACCCTATGGGATTGGTTTATTATAATTTCCATTTTACAGATGGAAAAGCTGAGGCACAGAAAAGTTAAATGACTTGCTCAGGGTCGTACAATTTAGGAAGCTGTGGCTGGATTCAAACCTAGTACGTCTAGTTTTAAAGTCCATGTTCTTAACCACCATGCTATGTTGTCTATCATATTACCTTTATTTCAGGCATCCGCAAATGGTCATATCAAGGCCTTCCTCCCATTTTTGTAAATAAAATTTTATTAGAACACAGCCACTCCCACTCCTTTAGCAGAGGCTGTGACTACTTTTCCACACAAAAGCACTGTTGAGTAGTTGTCACAGAAGACTGTATGGCTTGCAAAAATATTTACTATCTGGCTCTTTACAGAAAAAGTTTGCCATCCCCTGGTTTATTTAATTCATAGCCCTTATCATCTGAAATTGTTTATTTATTTACTTTATGTCTCTTGTACTAGATTATAAGATCCATGAAAGCAGGGGTCGTTCTTGTTTTGTTAACCCCTGTATATTTAGCTCTGAAAAAAGAAAAAAATTCTGAGATGTTCTAAATTAAATTACAGGGGCTGAGACTGTGAGAGACAGAACTGTTTGTTAATGGCTGTGGGCCAGCTAGTAGAAGACTTCTCACATGCCCATTGGGGTTTTGGTTTAATTTCTAGGTTGTTGTTTCCAAAGATTATTTAGCCAGGCACCATCTAACTCCATTAGCACCACCCCCCACCCCGGGGGTGCTTGCACCTGGGCTTTCCAGACTTCTGCCCATAGCCACTCAACAGGAGTGAGATTTCTTTATGCAGACTCTTCTATCCCAGAGCTGAGGCTTTACCTTCTCCCACCCCTTTGTCTATAGCTCATGTGAATTCTTTCAGGCTATCTTTTTCTTCCCCTTTCTCCCTACGTGACTTATAAAAACACTTTCAAAATTCTGGGGCAGGGCATGTGCTATCTTTGCTACCTCGCCATGCTGCTGGTGGTTTATACTCCATGTCTCAAGACCGGTTTTTCTTCTGGCTAGCATTTTTAGCTCAATAAACCTTACTTATAAAAAGACTTTCCAGTAGTGGAAGTTAAGAAACTTTACTTTACCACCTCCTAACACAGTGCCTTGGCACATAACAGATTCACAATAAGTATTTCCTGAATAAAGGAACAATAGTGGGTAATGTAGCAAAGTTCATTGTAATTATGCTTAGCCCTTGACCCCTTTGATTTTTAAAGGATATGTCTTAATGAACATGTTTTCAATTTGATCTCTAGGTTTGGAGGTTGCTATGTTAATGCTGCTTGTTTTTGGAATACTCCTTCATGACGTCCCACTGAGCAGCCAAGACGAGGCCACTCCTGAGGCTGATGGCATTCCAGGAGAACCTCTATTTAACTATGCCAGCCTCCGCTTGCCAGAAGAGCACATTCCCTTCTTTTTGCATAATAATAGGCATATTGCCACGGTCTGTAAAAAAGACTCACATTGCCCTTATAAGGTAAATATTATTTCTTCTCTTATTTATTTTTAAAAGTATGCAATTTAGGCTAACTTAATAGTTCTGACTTATAACTTGAACTTGAAGGTAGAATTCTATCCTTTGGTTGTAATGGGAGTCATTCATTGTATTTGATCTCACACTCCTGAGTGACTAAACTTTGTTTAAAATTATGTCCCAGTCATAGAAGTGAGATTTAAAATCTAAATTGCTAGTAAAATAAATATTATTTGTATACTCTATAAATGAATCAAATTAATTCTTTTTTTTTGCAGAAAAAGATATCTAGTTAAAAGTAACATAAGAATTTCACACCTCTTTTTTTAAATGCACTTAATTAAGACTGTTACTGTGACTTCTGTTTTCTGAGTTGTTGGAAAGGCCTCAAGTTGGAGCTAATTAAGACATATCCTGAGGCCTTACAGATCAAAGCTGAGCATTGTGAGGAACTTCCTTTCCCATGGCGCTGGCACAGGAAGCTTGTGGTGAAGCAGACCTGGGATTCAGACTAGCATTGCTCTCCGGCATTGCAGAAGAGCATTCAAAGTTCCCTGGCCCACAGCAGCTGCTGTGTCCCCCCAGGGTTGCAGAGCTCTTCATGTCTTGTGGGGTCTGCTGATCCTGACTGATGATGTTGGGAGTGGTGGTGATTAAAGATAATTGTTGTTAAGAATGTTAAAACTACTATTCTTAGAATTTACTCGTTATTTTTATGAAATGAATATGCATTGTCAAATATAAAAGCAAAAGTTCTATAAAGCTTTGTTTTCTTCATGGCGAAACCTAAGAGTCCTCTCTCAATGTCAGAAGGGAGGCCGGTCTAAATGTACATATTTTATGTTCTAGAAACACTTAAAAAATCTAAAGTATTGCTGGGGTTATGAGAAATCCTGCAAACCAGAGTTCAGGTTTGGTTACCCTGTTTGCACCTATGTCGACATGGGTTGGTAAGTTTCCAGATGGAATAACTTCTCCCCTTTAAGTCATCTTTCTCTGCAGTATTTGCTGATGCTCCAATTCCTATCAAGGCTTTTTTGGTTTTAGGTAGTAATTCATTATGATATTAATTTGTTTACAAAGTCATGGATTCAGCTTGACTAACGCCTCTCCCACCCCCCGCCCCCAGGAATATCTGTCATTTCTTCTGCCAGAGGGAGAAAACAGAGTAGATCACAGAAAATACTTTCCCCCAACAAACACTAAGAAAATAAATCGATGGTTTCCTCTTGATTCTGGAGGAGAGTTAAGTTTAATTAGTATTTCCAATACCTTGCAAGGTTAATGGATTAAGAAAACTATAGTAATCAACAGTTCAGTCTCTTTAGTTCCAGATGACCCTAACTTCATACATTTCTGTTCTGTATTTTTATTATAAGGGAGTAAGTCTATTAAAACTTATTTTGGTAACTTCAGATAGCAAGAGATAGTTTTAGGAAAATTATGATAGTGTACTTAAAATCAATGGTAAATTTCTGGCAATTTAACCTTTAGAAAGAAAATTCAAGGTTCAAAAAAGTAAAAAGAAAAAAGTCACAGAATCTCTTTGTTTACAAATAGGACAGATACCCTGGAATCAGCCCAGGACATATTCTGGAAACAAGCTGACTTTGGATATGCTGGAGAGCGGCTGGAGGAACTTCATGTGCTCTGTCAGCCTAAGGAAATGGTGGGTGTTTAGCCTCTTAGTATACAAGCATGTTTATTTTAAAATACTTGTAATGTTTAGCTCGTAATGTAAACACAAAGTAGATGGTGCTGTGAAGGGCTCCCTCACTCTCATGTATTTATTGGCTTGGACTTTTATTTAACTTCCAAACACAGGTGGTTCTGTGTCATTTGGAAACCATGTCCTCGTTTTCACACATACATCAGATGGCCATATTTTGAGACCGTTAAAATATCACTAGGTTTAGAATTTTTCCCCCAATCTGTGCTAAAGAAGACAGTTTCATCTTTCCAAATTCCCCTTGCAAGTAGTTTGGAATAGATGATATACCCCCACCGTACTGCTCTTTGTTTGTTTAGAACTTTACAGTTTGCAGAAAGCTGTCCTATGTGTTAGGTAGTTCAGTTCTCACAAGGATAGAAAATAGGCAGGGCAGGTATTATGAATGCCACTTGACCAGAGAAGACAGGGTCCTCAGAAAAGTCAAGCAACTTCTTTAAGACCACATAGCTACTACATAGAGTTAGTTGTACATCTAGAATTAAAATGCAGGTTTTTTCTGTTTGCTGTCAACTGCGCCACATTGCACTCAGTTGATAATACAAACATGTTATCTAGAGGCAGTTTTGGGGTAGTCCATAGAAGAGCAGGCTCCACATTCCAGAGTTCAAATCCTGAATCTTGGACAAGGCGCCCAACCTGTCTGTGTTTCAATTTCTTCTGCTCTTAAGCCATGCCTATTTCATAGCTTGTGGTTAACATGAAATAAGATTCTGCATATAAAAATGCTCAGTGCAGGGCCTGGCTCCTAGCAAAGAGCTCAGTGTTTTTAAAGGTCCATGCAGTTTTAAGCACTTATGACTAGGATCTGTTATCTCCCAATGTTTTTGAACCCTGGTGGAGTTTCTGAAATCTCAGAGTCTCCATTATCTCCAGGCAATCCAGAAAAAAAAAAAAAAAAAATTAATGCACTTGCATTAAAAAAAACAAAACTAAACTAAATACATGCTCTATAGCACTTTTGGAGGATATCACCTAATAGAACTTTGAGCAGTTCTCACAAGGTGGATTAAGCAGTGGATTAAGCAGTTCTGTTGAGGAAGCAAAACATTAACCCTCACTGCTGCAGGGTGCCTTTAACCGATGCTATTTCATATATGTTATATCCTCTGGCTGGTGTCTAGCTGTTTATGTGGAAAGGGCAAAGGAGGAGCCACTGCTTTACCTGGCACACCTCTTCCAAGGCAGTTTGTAGAATGTTTTCCTGGCCAAGATCTGTCTGCCTATGTTTTGTGCTATTAGAATATGATCCCTTAGCAACCATGGATTCCAAAATACCATGCAGGTCAAGATTAAGGCCTGTGTTCATTGAGAATTACAGGAGAAATAGTGAAATGGTATTTAAATCTATCTATAAATAAAATCCAGATCAGACAAAAGTTTTTGGAACTGTCCCTCTCTCAATACAAACCAGATTGGTAGAAATAGAAACAGGCTCTGGTAGTTGACTCTTAAACTCATTTATTTCAGTGATTTCGAAAACATTTCCTTGTGTTGCTGTTCAGACAGGGGCCCCACACGTTTTGTAGCTGGCATACTGCTCTGTCAGCCTTGTCTCATGTATGTATTCTTCCTTGTTTCATTTGGCTTTTTCAAAATGTTCTCCCCTCTCATACCCCCAAATGCTTTTTTACAAAGGTGGGATAGTGATGGCTCTGAGTGCCTTTTTTGGGGGGTGGGGGTGGGGACTGAACCACGCATACAGCTCTTGTCTTTAGAATTTGAGGTGATATAAATAGAACATTTTGAAGTTCTTTGTAGTCACCTAAAAGCGTGAAATTGGCAAACCTATGCTTGGCTAAAGTCTGCTTGGGATGGGGAAAAATCCTTAAACAGAAGCAGTCTTTGGGAAGCTTTCCTCATCACATTGTGTGGTTTCAACCTGAAGGTGTACATATAGTCAACATATCCAGCAAGTTTGGGTATGTCCTCGAAATGTTAATACTCAGAGTTATTTTTTTTCTTTTTCTTAACCTTATTTCAGAATGACTCAAGTCTGGTATGTTCTCGTTATCTTCAGTATTGCAGAGCAGCCAATCTCTATCTTGATTTAAGAAAAATCGAGAGAAACCGTGACAGGTATTTAAGTGACTGATACTAAATCTAATGGAAATTCTGAAATATTTTCAGGCCCAGCAATATGCTTTAGATAATGTGGTGATGAGGTTGGAAATGGTTGGGGGATAGAAGACCCCAATTAGCCATGAGTTGATCATAAGCTGGATTATGGGTCCATCATGTACCTCTATCATTCTGCTACTTTTGTATATGTTTGAATCATTCTATTAGAAAGTTAAATTCTGATGAAAAACTGGTTTTGGAAATTGAGAAACTACCTTGGTTACAATCAATATGCTTGAGTCATGAAAAAATTTCTGAACTCAATTTAATATTTTGTTACTCACCAGATTTAAGGAAGATTTTTTCCAGGCTGGTGAAATTGGAGGACACTGTAAACTTGACATTCGTACGTTGATGTCTGAAGGTCAACGCAAGAGCCCTCTGCAGTCTTGGTGAGATTTTTAAAAAATATGTTTCTAAAATATTTGCCTTCATTTCTGGTTCTTGCAGATGCGGGTAGTAATTTTCAAATGGAAAATGTTACTTCATTCGTAGATAATTTGGCATGAGCTTTCGGGGAGTGATGGCTACAGAGTGAATCTGTCAGTTATTTATGAATCAAATATATGTTTATAAAATATTAGGAAATATATATAGTACTTACTGTTTGCTAATGAAAGAAAAAATAAGTTCAAAAGTGAATTTTTATTGACTCCTAATAATTGCTGCATGTGTTTTGGGAAATACATTTTTTAAAGAAGTATACATTTATCTAATTATATCACAAACATTTAGAGAAGTATAAAGTTTGTGTTATGAAAGAGTGAACCTACCTGTATAATATTTAGCCAGGTCAAAAATACACCATCATTATCACCCCAGACACTCTCCTGGTCACAACCCCCGTCCTCTTCTCCGAAGGCAAATCCTATCCTGACTTTCAACACCAGTGATTAGCTTTTTGAACTTTATATAAATTGAGGAATACATTTTGATTTAAAACATTTTAAATATTAAACTAGTTCTATAGTCTATGAAGAAATTTATCATCTCTAGAAATTAATGAATTAGGGTAATTTAAAAAACTTTTGATTTAAAAATAATTTTAGACTCATAGTTTCCTTTAATGACCACATCTTATGTAACCATAGCACAATGATCAAAAACAGGAAATTGACATTCGTACATTTGGATTTCATCAGTGCTTATATACTCTCATTTTTTCTTTTTTGGATGTATAATTCTATGAAATTTATACCACATGTCTAGGTGCACGTAACCACTACCACAGTCAGGATACAGAACTGTTCTATCATCCCCCCAGAACTTTCATGCTACTCCTTTATAGTCTAAGGTTCTGAGTACCCAATTCCAGGGAGAGAAAGTTCCAACTCTCTAATCACATGGTTGATTCTGGAAACCAGCCCCCAACTTTGAGGTGGTCCAAAAGCTACCTCGTTAACAACAAAAGATGTCTTTGTGGGTCTCATCATTTAGGAAATCCCAAGGGTTTTAGAAGCTCTGTGCCAGAAATGGAGATGAAGACCAAATATATGTATTATAAATCACAGTATCACAAGTCACATAGAATACTCTTATATAATGTTAATTTTTGAGGTCAAATGGTCATCCTAAGCAAACCCTTCAGGGCAATAATCTAGCATACTTTTGTATGGCATTCTGCGGTCTGCAATGCAGCAACTTCCTTAATAGAGTTTTACAATAGGAGTTCCTATTTCCTAGTGGGCATTTTGATTCCTAGTACATTTTGATATCTGATTCCACTTGGTAGTTTCCTAGTGTGTGTTTGTATTAGTTATTTATTGCCATGTAACAAGTTTTCTAAAATATACTGTAGAATATATGTGTATTTATTATCTATTGCTGTGTAACAAATTGCTCCAAAATTTAGCAGCTTAAAACAACAAATGTTCATTATCTCACAAAGTTTCTGATGATCAGGATTTGGAGGCAGCTGAGCTGGGTGATTCCAGCTCAGAGGCTCTCACAAAATCACAGTCCAGTCGTTAACAAGGGCTGTAGCCATCTCTAGATTTAACTGGGCTTGGAGAATCTCCTTCTAAGCTCACTCATAAGTGTTAACCTTAAACAAATAGCTTGCTATTTCTCCAGAAAAATGGGTTTATTTGGAAATAACAAGGAATTGCGATTAAGGACATGCAGTCTAAAAGTGAACCATGCCCAAGCCTAGAGGACAAAGGAGAGGAACATTATTTTATAGAGGAAACGGGGAGTTTAGAGGCGCCATTGTAAACAAAGAGCCTATTGGAGGAAACTAGGAATTCGAAGTATAGTGGCTTTTCATTGGATGAGTTGTAAGTCTTTCATTGGTTGAGTAGGTTCTTAAGTGAGAAATTCCTCCTTCTTACTGTTGGAGTAGGAGAGTAGTAAACATCTTCCTCTTGAAGATGGAAAGTACTGTCTTCCTGTTTGGAGTAATTGACAGTGAGTGGTAGCGCATAAGAGTTCCCACTTCAGGCCCTTCCAACTCCAATTTAAATGAGGTTTCTGTTAATTAATCTTCACATAAGTTTCAGTTTCTCTCTGGCGATTGGCCAGAGATGTCATTGTTTTGCCATGTGGGCCTCTCCCTAGTGCTGCTTACAGCATGGCAGCCAGCTTCCCCTAGAGCACAGTGGCTTAAAAGCAGGGGTCAGGGAGAGGGAGGGCATGCCCCAAGATGGAGGACTTAGCCTTTACATACCCTAATCTCTGACACACCATAGCTTCTGCCATCTTCTGTTCATTCTAAGTGAACCACCAAGTCTAGTCCACACTCAAAGAGGAGGGAATTAATCTCTACTTTAATGAAGGAAGAAGTATCAAAGATTTGCGTACATATTTTTGAAACCGCCATATTTCAGCATCATGTGTGCTTTAAAAGGATCTGTCTGATATTTGTTTTACATCAGACGTAGTTTAAAAGATGACATGTTAGAAACGATCTTTAGGCTAACTCTCTCTTGCCACATGCCTCTGATTGTCTTCTTTTGTGTGGAAGAAACCTGTGTCATGTGGCTTCCAAAGACATTTCTGAGAAAAACACTTTCCCCTCTTCTGGGAAGCTTAGCTGTTCTGAGACACTTGATAATTCTTTCAATGCTTTCTTTCTCAGAATCCAGGCAGTCCATCACAAGAGATCTTTTGGGTCAGTGTTGCTTCTGAGCCTTGTCAGACTACAGGAATCTTTTTGAATCTTCCCACTTTACTGGTAGATTATTTAGCCAGCTCAATGTGCATATTCTGTGTCTGGAAAGTTACCAGTGTATCTTGCACTGAAATTTTTTTTCTTTTGAAGGAGAATTCAAATTTATTACGCATGGTCCCAGAGGAGCTAGTGCTCTGAAGATCTGGGCCTTGCATTGAAATTTAAAATCACTTTTGTTCATATCTCAACAGTAAAATAAGTATCCAGTTATGTTAGTAAGTTTGAGAAATCTCACATGTATTCCTAAGAGCTTATTCTAGAAATAGAATCACTCTAATGAACAGATCTGAAGTTACAGTGTAGTAGAAGGTAAAGAGAATCCCTTTGAAGACTTCTCCCAATTCATATTTCCAGGTTTGCTGAGCTCCAAAGCTATACACAGCTCAACTTCAGACCTCTAGATAATGCTAAATGTGACATTGTTATTGAAAAACCAACCTATTTCATGAAGTTGGATGCAGGTGAGAAGTTAATTTGTCTGTTATTTATTTATTAGTTAATGAGGCTTTGATCCTTTTATATCATGTCTATGTAGTGATTTCTTATGGCTTGGGGAAGCAGCATGACATTAAACAGTTTTACTTTCTGCTCTCTAATCTGAAGAAGTAAACTAGTTTGAATTTCTCATTAGTTAATACCTTTGATATTTTAGAAGAAATCTGCACATTTGTATCAAATGACTCAATCAGAAGGTGAGAGAAAAAGGTATATGTATACTTTTTATAACTAAGTTTACCCCATCTCCTTTCTCTAATCACTTGGTTTAGATTGTGCCTCATTAGAAATTTTTTCAAAAGCCTTTTATGTACTGTGAGTGGCGAAGGAACGCCAATGACCTCTTGTGGCAAACTTTCTGATACTGTTTCCATGATTGAAATGAACTTAAAATTCCTCTGAACATCAGCTCTGCAGTTTATTCTTGGTAAAAAGTTAAAATTGCAGTGGTTTTCTTCCATTTATGTCTATTGCTTCTTTCAGCTTGCAAACACAGTTTTAACTTTGTGAACTGGTTTTCCTGGAGAGGAGAAACATGAATTCTACTACATTATCTCTCTCATCATAAGAGATGAAGATGTCATACTGTATCAAAATTTATGAGAGGCTGGGCTTACAGTGAAATATAGAGAGCCCTCTGTCACAAATATTTCAGACTTACTATAATTTATTGATCATATTTTTAATGTGCTTTGCCTTCTGAAGTCATAACTTTTATATTACAAAGTATTAGGTTCAGAAATCAGACAAGTTTAAGTTTTCGAAATAAGAGCAAGTAAAAATACTGTTTGAGGTCCTGACTCATTTTTTAAATATGCAAATTAAAAAGGGACAAAGAAAACACTGTGATCTGTCTATAAAAGAGTGAGTATGTGTGAACTGTTCAATTTATGTAGATACTTAAACAATGAAGTATGTAAAGTAGGTATAATAGACCATGGTAGGTATATGCCATTTCATATTCATAACTATATTCATAACTACTTTTTTCTTCTAACTTATGCTGTTAACTTTTCCTTTTCATATTAACTCTTTCCTTGAGAAAATGAGCATTCTGCAGAGCAAGACTCACTAGGGGGCACATTTCTTTAGGACAGAACCTGCGCTTTCTTTTTCATTTATAAATCCTCATAGCACCAAGTATTTTGTGCGTGCCGCCTTCCTCGAGAAATGTTATGAACCTGCGGAATGATACATTCAGGGGAAGCTAATGTGCACGATGTGCTCACCTGGGGTAAGGGGAATTGGAAAAGAACTTTCTTTTTTTCGTTTATTTGAAAATATGTTCTTTGCTGAGATTTCTCTGGGAGAAAAAAGGAGCCCCTCCAAACATTCATCTAATATACCACTCTAAAAATAACTGGGTATTTTTTAGCACTTATTTTCTGGCACACAACGTTGTTATTTACAGTGGGATTGAAGTCAGAATATTTTATGATTTCTACTTTTAAGAGTCACTGATTTTCTTTCAGTCATCATTTTCCCCCTTTAAGGTGCATGTTTAAATGTCAATTTTTGGAATTTCATCCATTTTAGATTTGCTCACTTCCAGGTTGAATATCGCGTCCTGCATACCTAAGTTAGCAAAAGAGAGAGAGAGGGAGAGAGAGAATATGAATGTTTATTTATTTATTTAATAAACATATGAATATGAATTCATAAGAATTCAAAAGAATATGAATTGTTTGTTTGTTTATTTATTTTGGGGGCTTCTTTTTCATGATGGACTTAGGAACTTACAAATAGCAGCACTTGTGCTCCAGTCTTCTCTGACCCAGCAGGACCAGCTCGTCTTCATTGTTTCACTATGTGCCAGCTCTGGGGCTGGGTAATTTTAGATAATCTTTGCATTTCTCCTAACAAAGCTGGCACCTAAGTATAATGATTTCCTGTTTCTAGTAGAGAAGCTTAGGGACTTTTATCTGAGAACATTGCTCGTGAATGGCTGAGCTAGGATTCAACCCAGTTCTGATTCTGAAGTTCATGCTCTTTCAATTAGGACATGAGACTTTCAACTCTTTTAAATGACTTTAGCCCTTCAGCCCTTTTTTCCAAAAAGCAATGCTGTAGTGATTAAATAGGAAAAAAAGAGACAGAAATGAAAGATACAAAAATGTTAATAGTTGCCATCATTTTCAATAGTTCTATGATGAATAGGTGTCGCCTAATTGATTTTTTAAAATAAATGATCGTAAAACATAACAATCAGTCTTTATGGGCCTATAATTCTATGCAATTTTGAGCTAAATAGACTGTTTTGTTTATTTATTTATTTATTTACTTACTTACTTACTTACTTACTTATCTCTGGGAAATTTATGATCATTTGTTACTTAGTGTATATGGGGGGAAAATGTATTCCTGATTTCTAAGTAACCAATTTTAAAGTGAATTTTCGAACCCAGTCAATCTGTAAATTGAGTACTACCTGAGTATAGAAGAGTTCATGTTTAGAAAAACTTGTCTTTTTCCCATTTATTTCAGCTAAAAGTCTATCACATTATAAATAGATGGGGTAGAATAAAAACTGTATAATCATTTGTTCTTTGGACTTAATTAATTTGGATTTCTTTTTTCCAATACTAGGTGTTAACATGTATCACCACTTCTGTGACTTTATCAATCTTTATATTACTCAGCACGTTAATAATTCATTCAGTACAGATGTGTACATTGTGATGTGGGACACGGTAAGTGAGAGTATACTGTAAGCCTCAGCTCTATCTTTGCTTTGCTCAATAAATCTGTTACTCTGATGTGGTGAAATAGAATTTTCTAATACACACACATTTAAATAAACATATGCAGAATGTGTCTGTGTACATGTATTTACATGTATGTATACATATGGGCAGATACATAGGTAGGTATACATACCTTGGTTCTTTGAATTTTAGAGTGAGGCAGTGGAAGATTTTTTTCCACCTTTGGGCAGGTGGAACTCCAGAGACCAAAAACTTGTGCTTAGTGTTCCTCTGAGACAAGTATATGAAGACTGTCGTTCTATTGACCTCTGTGACCACTCCACGCCCCTGCATGGCTCACGTGGAGCAGCTTGCCTGTATTTACAGTTTGTCCTGCTGTAATTATTGTCTACCTTTGCTTACCTGCAGCTTTCCTCTTGCTGCTCATGTCATGACAATTGTGCCATGTGTATGAGCTCACTACGCAGGGCAAGACTTGGTCGTGCACATAAATACTACACCCACTATTTGCTTATTTGTTTTTAGTGTTGTCTTTTTTTTTCTTCCAGTCTTTCTTTTCCTGCCTTTTCCCTGCTTTTTTCCATGTTGGCCCCTCCACCTGCCAAGGTAACCCCCACCAAGAGTTGCCCAGTACTGGGGCAACTGTGAAATGGGATAATTATAGTATCTCCTTCAGTGTCATTTTGAGCATAAACCATATAGTGTATGAATAGTCACAATGCCTGACACACAGCATGTGTGCTGTGAATGTTACCCTATGACAAAGACAGTGATAAGAACGTGTGGTTTGTCGTATACGTGAGAGAGGCTGCCTAAACTGGGAAGGTGGAATGCCCCGCAAGAAGTCATCTAAGGTTCAGCTAAACATTCTAAGTCACAAGACTCATTGGTCTCCCTCTCAACATGAATCTATTCAGAACGCTATTACAGGAGAACCACAGCTCGCTGGCAGGGCAGCATTAGGCATTTCTTTCTGAAGGAGTCCTTCTAGCAGCGCACACAGCACAGCTCAAGTGCAAGGAGATGGGATCCACCTGGGGCAGATACAGAATCTCCTGGGACAACTCCATTGGCAAAGCCCCAGGATCCCCATAAGAGATCCAGCCAGTCATAAGAGTCAGTGTACCCTTTCCCAGTCCAGGTGCAATTTACCTATCAAGCATCTTTTTAAATCATAAGTAATTGTACCTAGAAACACAGTTGACATGTGCTGTCTTCATTTCCTGAGAGAGCAGAGCTAGATAGTTAACTGAAGGTCAGATTCTTGTGCAGAAGGGGAAATGGTTTTGCTAATACTTTTTCACTTATATGAAGTTCATAGTCGAGCTGCCTAGAAAGTCGTTTGATTTGAAGTCAGATGAGAATTGATTCTTTAATTCTTAGCATGTTAATGCTCACTTTTGGTTTCCCTCCTTGCATGTTTTTATGTGTCCCTTTGTGTTCCAGTTTTATTGCTAACACAGTTACATTTCTGAAAATGTTTCTGTGAGCAAAGATCACAACAGTCCCTTTCTTCTTTTTGTGTAAGTGCTTCTAGGCCACAATCACCAGCCATAGGTAGCCTTGAATGATTAACTCAAGGTGATTGTGCTTTTTAGAAAATGATACCTGATGTTCTCATTTAATGCTCACAATCCTCCATGGACGAGTGTTTTTATTAGCTTATTTTACAGATGAGGAATCTGAGGCTCTGGGCTGTTCTACAGTAACACAGTCAGCAAGGGGCGGAGTCTAGGGTTCCTGTCCAGGAAGTCTAACCCCAGATCAATGTTCAGAAACCACAGTGCTTTATAGCCTCCCTACAGTTCCGTGCAGAACCAGTTAGATTGATGGAAGTTTTTCCAGACACTTTGCAGAAGCTTCTTTATATCTTGTTGCTTGCTTTTCCATGTCTTCCTCAAATGAACTAAGTTAAACTGAGCCAACTTCTCCAACTCTCCCTTCTCTGTGTCTGCTGGGTTGGAGTAAATGGGATGCACAGCCCGCACGAAGTTCCCAGGTTACGCTGGTAACAGGGCACATGATGTCAGGGCAGTTGGACTGCTACTGGCCTGGACACACAGGTAGTATTTAGCCCAGCAGGTTGGGTGCCCTGATGTTACCTCCCTCCTCTACTGCTCTCTGTGCTTCCATTTTAAACCTGTGTCTTGGTCAGAGAGGCCTTTACTAGTTGCTCATTCAGCTTCTCAGGCAGGTCTGCAGGGTTGCTCCAGAAATGAGGCCCACAGAATTCTGAAGGTTGGATGGGGATAGTGTTAAGGTGTTATGTGGCCACTGACTTTTCTCTTTTGCTGGTAAGGCCTTGAATAAAACAACACTATGACTCCCAGGCTGACTGTGATTTGAATCCCTGAGAGTGGACAGTGGTGCCTCAGAGCCAGTCCTCAAGGCCTCAGATAATCTGTGTGGCCAGGAGAAGGGCAGAGAAGTGGCTGTGGCTGCAGTTCAGGTCTTAGTGACCTTTCACAAACTGTGCCCAGAAAGAGGCCTATGAGGCCTTCCCTTTAGCCCCTGCAAAGTTTAGCAGTTTGGCCTCTCCCTTCAGGCATATGGCTTCCTTGGTGGGATGGGTAAGGCCACCAACCTGACATGAATTAATGGACACTTCTGCAGAATTTCTAGGCATAGAAGGGTTGCTCTTATTAACAGAATTACTAAAAGGCGGGGATTGCTGGAAGCTTTCCATATTTTCTTGCACTGAAAAGTAATTTAGTTTTATTATTTTTAATTACACAAGTAATATCTGGTTATAATGAGTTCAAATAACACAGAAGTATATCATGTTAAAAAAATTATTTCTCTTCTCTATTTTCCTTAAAGGTAATTGCAGTTATCATATGAGAGTCCCTTGTTACACTTTTTATTTGAATAAATGTAAATATATTTTTATAGAAAATATACTCTGTTTCATATTATTAATTTAATATTATGTCATTTCCAGGTCAGTACATTTAGGGTTATTGCTTGCTAGTGGTATTCTGTTCGATGAATAGAATCCCACTAGCAAGGATGAATGCATTTATCTCCGTCCTGCCTCGGCGCATGCATTTATCTCCGACCCCACTCAGATCACGTTGTTTGTTTCTAGTTCTTTGCTGTTTGCTGAAATGCTACAGTGAACATCCTTCTCATATACATATGTCTTTACACACTCATCCTAGCATTCCTGTAGGATAGATTTCTACAAGTAGAAATTCTAAGTTATAGGTTATATGCATGTTTAAATTTGACACATGCACAGGAGGAAGTGTTATTTTTAAGAATATCCAAATATTTTGCAATAAGAGACTAGAAAGAAGTCCTTCCTTCCCTCATGACAGATAATTTGAATTTGAAAGACATGGAAAAGAAGCTTCTAAAGGTGGTTATTACTAAATAATACATGATTATCCTGAAAAGGGATCAATGAGTATTAATATATTTTGTAATTAAATTTTCCTTTTAAAAATATCCTATTTTATTTGAGGTATTTTATCTCAACTATCTGTCTAGAGTCACTTCTTTTAATTGCCCCTTATTTCTTATTGAGCCAGAACAGAAACATTTCACTTGTGATGGTGTTGTGAAGGGCCTTTATTAGAATGGCAGAGAAGCAGCAAAAGAAGGCATTTTTTTTTTTTTATCATCACATTTAACAGTTCTCAATAACTTTGAAATAACTCTAAAATGTGCAACATAAAATTTTCATAGCCTGAAAAAAGAAAATGCCATAAGGATAAAAAGACACGAACATAATAAAATGTATAATCAGCTGAGACCTTGACTGTAATCCTACAATACGTTTCTTATTTCTGTTGGCTGAATTTTTCAATCTAAGTTATACCATTTTAAAATAAATTGATCTTTTTCCTTTAGCTGATGGAGCGCATAATTAATTTCTCCTTTTTAGAAATGAGATGCATTTGGTAAATGTACTAGAAAGAACTGGTTCTTGCTGAGAGGCAACTGCCCTACAGAGGTTATGAACATGGAGTCCAGAACCAAACACTCTGGGTTTAATCCCAGCCCTGCAAATACACCAGCTCTACGATTTTGGAAAATTACTTAAATTGTGTCTCAGTTTCCTCATCTGTAAAATGAGGATATTACCTAGCTTATTAAGTTTGTGGGGTGGTTTAATATGTTAATAATGTCAAGTGCTTAGTGTCTGCGACAGGAATTTGCAAGATGCTATTATTATTATTATTACTCTCATTAATGTTAGTGGAGAATTATGTTACTCAATAGACAATGGGTAGATCATAGCGTTACATACATTGTATTTCTAATGTTAAAACTTTGAAGGCGTTTTCTTGCTCTGAAGTTTATTTCCAAAGGCGTATTCTATTTACGCAGATGGTTTTTGCTGGCTGAGCATATCAAAGTGTGGATAGATGGTGGTGTATGTATGTGTTGTGTATATCTGTAATTTGGATAGAAAGCACACACATACAACTACAGTTTCAGACTTGTAAATACAAAAGACTAGGATGGAAAAACAAAATACGTCTAGCAGACTAAGATTATAATTGTGGTGATTACTTTTGTTGATATTATATCAAATTAGGTACTAACTCCATCCCAAGATAAAAATTCCATTTTTCTTATATGGATTTTATGAGCTTGTTTAGGATCATTAGTTCTTAACACTAACAAGCTAATTCGGGTACATTGTGCATTCTTGAAAAGCGATGTTGACTCTTTTTATTGCCCTAACTTATTGTGTTTCTATTTTCAGAGCTCTTATGGATATGGTGATCTGTTCTCTGACACATGGAAAGCATTTACTGATTATGATGTTATACATTTGAAAACCTATGATTCCAAAAGGGTACTGGAAATTTTACTGAAATGTCTGTAAATAATTGTCATTGCAGATCACTCATCAAGTAAATACTTAATATGAGTTTCTATTAGCCATTATCATTAATTTCTGACTTTTCTCTTTTTACAACTGGAATCCTCATTGTTATTTACCATGAAGCTTTTAAAAACATTTTTTCCATAGCTTTTCCAAAAACATGAATGTCACCTGAATGAAATAGTTTGCTATTCAAAATATTTTAATGTAAAATAGATGTTACTTAAAATTGATTTTCTGTAATTATAAGGGCTATTTCAGTATGAAGGGTACAAATTGTCTTTTCTTACCTTTTAAAATATTTTCGTTGTTAGGTATGTTTTAAAGAAGCTATTTTCTCACTACTCCCCAGGATGAGATATGGACTGTTCTATAACACCCCTCTGGTAAGCATGTTATTTATTGTAGAATTTATTCTTGATAATTTAAAGAATTATCTTGATAATTTATAGAATTTATTCTTGGTAATTTAAAGATAACATTTATATATGACTTGAGATTATCTTAAATAGTATATACAAATACTCATTGTAATATGAACTATTGTTTTTGTTCTAGATATCTGGCTGTCAAAATACTGGCTTGTTCAGGGCATTTTCCCAGCATGTTCTACACAGACTAAACATCACACAAGAGGGACCCAAGGTAATGAATACACAGCAGGTCCTCAAATAATGTTGTTTCATTCAGTGCCATTTTGTTATAACATTGATGAGATGCCGTAGGAACTTAACTCTTGTTTATTCAATTAGCCTGGGGTAACATTGGTTTTGTTATATGCCATTTTGCTTAAAGTCACAGAACCTATGAGGTAATGTTGAGGACTTAACTGCATTATGAGTTCTGAGGTGGGCTTGACTTTTCACTCTGAATAAAAATCAATACCACCTTTGAAGAAAAATAAATACTTAGAAGACAGCGTTTTCTGTGTTAACAACTTCTGACCTCGAGTAATCTGAAATCAGATGTCAACAACCTATGAAAGATAAACTAGGGATAGTGAAAGAAAGTGCTTTTTCTCCTTTTCTTTTCCTCTTGCCATATTGCTCCATCTTCCCCTAAGTCCCTAAGTCGCACAACCTCTGCTGAAAAAGACTACCCAACTAACCAAACAGAAGTGTCATGAACAGGTTTTATCTTTTGTGGCAAAAGTAGATGCATTTTTATTCCCTGAGAGAACTGTGAAGGAACCAGGCTTTTTTAAAAAAAGTTCCATAAATGTGTCCTTATAGAGTTTCATCTCTTTGTGAAAATCATATTTTAGGTTCAGGTGTTCATTCATCTGTCCAGGCATACACAGCATTATTTTGCTTTTTCTTTTTGATTACAGGATGGAAAAATTCGAGTCACCATTCTTGCACGGAGCACAGAGTACCGGAAGATACTAAACCAAAATGAGGTTAGTTTTGGTATGCATTTTTAATATCATCATATTGAATTTAACTTCCTGTGACTATTGTGCTTTTTTTTTTCGCATTGCATTAAGTGTTTTGATTTGAAATTATTAGCCTTTAGAAAAGTTTGATGGCTATGCCCAGTCCATTTTTTGGATTTTTACCGAAAGGCATCAAACCATCCATCCCCACACTGGCTTTGCCTTACTGTAAATATTCATTTGTACCAACTCATAGTAGGAAAAGAAGCACAAACTGTCTTCGAGTCCTGCCCTTACTGCCACGAGTTGCCAAACATTCTTCTTTTAGAAAAATTGGCAGCAAAAATATGAGAGTGTCTTTTGCGAAACGGTTGATGGAATGTGGCAACACTATGCACTTCAGCGGCAGATTAAGTTGGAAGTCTCCATCCTTTTCATGACTGTGTGTCCTAGGAATCATTTACCTGTTGGACTCCCAAACTCATTTCAGCAGCATAAACTCATAACTTATGTTTGCTGTCAATAAGATCACCATGCCTAGAACAGCATGGCCGAAAGATGTACTCAAAATAGTAAGATTTATTCCACAAGAAAAGTATTGAACTCCTGCCATGTGCTGGGCCAAGTTGTAGGCCTTGGAGCTGAAGTAGAGAATATGACTGGTAAAGTCCCTGCCCTCATGGAGCTTATACTCTCCAGGTGAGACAGGCAAGAAAAGTAAACAGGTCTCTAAGGTGATTTTAGGTAGTGATAAGCGCTACAAAGGGAGTAAAACAAGGTAGTTCAATAGAGACTGGGGATGCAGACAGAAGGGAGAGGCAGTCAGGCAAGGTGTCTGAGGGCTAAGACCTGATCAGAGAAGAAGCTAGCCGAGGAAAGAGCTCCCAGGCAGAAGCAAATGTCCTCTGGTGTCCAGAGCTTTAACACAGCAAGAGAGATCGGAGTGATATCAGAAGAAATGGGAAAGGTCAGGCGTGGTGTGCAGAGGTCACAGATCCTATCACCCCCATAGCCTTTGATGAGAAGACTAACTTTATTCCAGTGTGAGGGGAAGCCATTGTGAAGTTTTAAGCAGGGTGTGGTAGGTGAAATAATGGCCCTTCAGAGACTCAGGTCGTGATCCCTGGAACCTGTGAATAGGTTAGGGAACATGGTGGAGAGAAATCAAAACTGCAGACAGGTTTAAGGTTGCTAATCAGCAGCCTTGAAATGGAGAGATCATTCAGAACTATCCAGGTGAGTCCTGTGTAGTCACAAATGGGATTTACGCTCACTCCACCTGAGAACCTTTGCCTCTGCCTGGAAAGCTGTTTTTTGTAGCTGGATTCTTCTTACTGATGAGATCTCAGTTCAGCACTTCTTTAAAAGTGAAGAAGGGAGGTAAAAAAAAAAAAAGACATGATGATGGAAACAGGACTAGAGAAATGCAAAACAAACAAAAAGGTTGCAAGCTTTGGAGAAGGAAGAAGGGGCCTCTAGCCAAGGAGTGCAGATGGCCTCTAGAACCTTGAAAAGCCAAGCATTCTCCCCAAAAGCCTCCAGAAGCAGTGCAGCCCTGCCAACACCTTGATTTTAACCCAGTGGGACTTCCATCTCACTGTGACAGACTTCTACAGAACTGTAAGAGGATGAATTGTGTTGTTAAGATACTGAGTTTGTGGTGATTTGTCATAGCAGCATATAGAAAATGAATACACAGGGAGAGACATGAACTGACTTATTTGTTTTTAAATCACTCAGGCTGCAAGAGTAGGAGCCAGGGAGATTGATTAAGAGCTGTTGCTAAGGTTCCAATAAGAGTTTAGACGAAAGTGATGACAGTAGATGTCACAAAATAAATGGATTCAAGATGTATCTTGTAGTTAGAGCCTTTGATACTTACTGCTGGAATGTACAGTTAGTGTATTAGGTAAGGGCAGGAAAGGTAGTGGGAATCAAGTGTGAACTCCTGGGCTTTGAACTTAAGCATTTCAGTGAACCGGAGATGGGAAAAATGTAGTAGGAGGGCAGTAGGCAGGTTTTGATGGGTAAAATGTTTTACACAGATTAATTTGGTTGCCTAACAGGCAGATCGAAATGATGTAATTAGCATCTCTTCTTTAGACCCATATGGGTGATGGAGGACATGAACATATGGTGTAATGAGGCATTGAAAGATATGAGCAATGTGTGCGTGTTTTACAGTCCTGGAAATAAAAATGTATCAAGTAGTGCAATGTTGGGGTAGACGGATGGGAAGCCTCATGAGCAGGCAGAATAATAGTGTGTATTGGTAGAGGTAACACATTGAGTGCTGATGATGTGCCAAACATATTACCATGTGCTTCCCAGGCATGTCCCCCAACCCTCCCAGCAAACTCATGAGGTAGGTATTTTGTTATCATTCTTTGTTCTAGACAAGGATACTGCAGCATAGAGATTTAACATGCCTAAGGTGACCCATAGCGAATAGAGTAATGGGGGTGAGCCAAGGCAGTCAGGGTCTGAGCCTGCTTCTTAACCAAAATACTGTGCCCTCTAACACAAGTAGCTCTTAGAGGAGGCTGACCCACCATGGTTCCCAGTCTCTCAGGAAGGGGTGGGGTTAAGGAACAGCATCAAGCCACTGGAAAGTCCAGTAGAAAGGAGGTCTTGCCAGTGGGTGCTACAGTGCAGTCACGAGCGTTTCCACATTCAGTCGTCATGGGCATTTTCACATTCAGTCGTGCACATTGCCCAAATGATGTTGCCCAAAGGTGAGATTTGGTAATTCAGCTCCCAGCTCCAAGCCAAAGAGCACCTAACTGGCTACTTTTCATGTCAGGGTTGGCATCACTTGAAAAGGCAGCTACCAGGCAGAGAAGAAAGCACCTGGGATTATACCTTGACTCATGAATAGACAATAAAATCCAAATGCCCTTGTTAAGTGACAGTTTGTGCAATCCTGCCCAACCTCAGGGTCAGAATAATCATGTCAGGAGGGATATGGCTACTTCGCTGGAATTAATAGAAATTGTGGAAAAGGGCGTGCTTGCCACGGGACTCTGAAACACACAATTCTTTTTATGTGGTCCCATCTCATTACAAGACCAGGGCTCCTGCCCTCTGATTAGTTCCCTCTTGTAAAACAGAATTCTAATCTTATATCCTCAGCCCTTTAACTTCTTGATGTAAGCAGTATATTCATGGGAGTTCAAGGGTTGTCTAGACAGAAAAACTTTCATTTTATGACTGTGCACGCTCGTGTGTGTGTGTGTGTGTGAGAGCGAGAGAGAGAGATAGAGACAGAGAGACAGAGAGAGAGACAGAGAGAGAGAGACAGAGAGAGAGAGATGGGGTCGGGGATTGGATTTTGGTTACTGCCTGTTACTTTTTGTAAGCAGGAGAGTAGAGTGCACTAAGAACACAGGTTCTGGGGGCAGATGACCTAGATTTAATTCTGTCTCTGACATTGGCTAGCCAGGAGATCCTGTTACTGAGCAAGGGCTCATTGCCTAATGTACATAGAAGCCAAAACTATAACACTGGCTTTTGAGAAAAGATAAGGCTCTATTTACAATCGACTGGCAGGGAGATAGGAGGCACCATTCAAATCTATCCCCTTGATCTAGGGTTCAGAGCAAGGCTTAAGGGGTTTCATAACTGGATCTTCTTGGACAACAGACATTTCTCTTTAGAAAGGGTTCTGGTATTCAGGTTCTGGTCATGTCCTGGTCCTCTGGTTCTCTGGGAAGTGGGGGGCAGGGAACCTGATAAGGGTTCACAAGTGTTACACCTAAGTGGTATAACTTTGGTTCTGGGTCTTGTCAGAAACAGGGTAGGAACAGTTTGAGCTGGTTCTGCACTTACAAATCTCCCCTTTTTGTTGTTCATTCCTCAGTCTTGGGGAATAAGTACTTCCTGCTCTAGCTACTTTCTGCTGATAAGGGGACAAAGTCAGTCAGGAAGAGTGCAAGAATGCAGGAGAAAGTAGACTACTAGGGCTATACAAGCAACTCTCACAACTAGGAAAGTAAGACATTGTTTAAACCAAAATAATAGCAAGTTAAGATAGATAATTTAGGTTTATACAGGCCTGGTCTGGCCCCTTGGGCAGAAGCAGTGTACTTTTGAAATGTTCACATCTCCTCTTCCTGTCTAGGGGGTTCTCAGTCATCTTGTTTCATTTGAAAAGTAACACTAGAGTGACTTCATTGGGTCCATTACACTTAGGCTGAGGCTGACCCTCACGGTGATGGTTTTTACAAGCCTTGAGGAGCAGATAAAGTAGCACCTAGAGACTACACACATTTTATAGTATCTAAATTGTACAGTATGCTCAAGCAAGGGTCTCCCATATAATACCTCATAAGGCCCAACTGGAACTTGCTTCTGGGGCCTACTGTTACCCTAAGCAGAGCAGCCAATAAGACCTTACCCCAAGTTAAGGTGGTTTCTTGACATATTCAGCTTTTCAGTCTTTCCTGTAGACTGAGGCCTCCATGAAGCTTGTAATTTCTGAGGGCCCCAGCATCTTTTCAGTCTTTCCATGGCTGTGCCTTGTGGGAGTTACCATTCCGCAACATCGTTGTTTCATTTTCGTCTGTGGATCATCCCATGCAAAGGCAAATAGTTCCTGGGACTCAGGACTTAGGGATATGCAGTAAAAGGCATCTTTTAAGTCCAGAAATGTAAACTAGCAAAGGTCTCCAAATCAAGTTGTAAGCAAAATATAAAGATTTGGCACCACCAGCTGTTCACTACAGTTTGGTTTATGACTCTCAAATCCTGTACAAAATGATAATTTCTGGCCCCAGATTTTTGCACCAGCAGGATGAGAGTGTTATATGGGGGATCGACAAGGTTAGATTAATTGGCATTTAAGAAAGGTAGCTATCAGAGGCTTTATACCTTCTTTCACACACCTCTCCAAAGGATATTGTTTCAAAGTCCCATTATCAGGCTGGGGGTGGGGCTGGCGCTTCTCGAGCAGAGCCCAGGAATCCACAACCCAGTCTGGAGTCTGCATGGAGCTCAGAACTGCCTTAGCCTGGGCTGAGCCCTGGGGCTGGCCTTGGCAATAGCAATGCCACAGCAGGAGCCAAGGCCAGGGACCAAGGAAGGGGCTCCCAGCCTGGTGCTGTCTGAGCCCATCACTGGTGGGGTTCACACAACATCTTCTAAGTGGACACTCTTAATTTACTTCTGAGTCCTGCCTTCAGTATTCAATTGACAAAGAAATTTGAACATATATTACAATAATATTTAACATTTTAAGATAGCAACTAGAATTATTAAAGAAATAAAGAATTTGACAAAGCTTCCTGTGTAATTGTTAAAGAATTATTAAAGAAATAAAGAATTTGACAAAGCTTCCTGTGTAATTGTAGTATATTAAACAGTCCTAATTAGTTTAAAATTTCCCTTTACTAGGGAGAGAGAGAACAAATCTTTGAGGCATTCCAGGGGCCTACTGGAATAACCCATAGCCATTTCCAGGTTGAGAAAATGTCTCCTTTTAAAACCCAAACCATGGGCATTTTGTCAAACATACTTGACCAAAAAGATCATTTATCACTATGAAACAATATTAAATTATCCATTTACCCAAAGTGACAATAAAAGATATCAAATATATTGTTAGCTTGGGTTAAGGGTTAATGACTTCCTACTTTTAAGCCAGTTAATGTGGGGTTATGGTATCTGAACTCGCCACAATGCTTCGGATCCTGAGTTTGACTCTTCTCAGTGGGGGCCAGCTGATGACCCTGGCTCATCCTTGCCAGCACCACACACCTTCAATGCACTCAAGATGGGGAGGGCTGACCTCCAGTTGGTAATCAAGCAAGCGTTCCATCAGTATGGTCGAAATGAAATAAATAGCTGCCCTGAGTTAGGACTGCCTGGCTGCCGCTGACGGCTCCTTCAGGGTTTGCTGAAGAGTGACAAAAATACAGAACCTTTAATCTAAAGCAAAATGCACACAAAATAAGACTGATGCTCCCACAGTAAAGTAGATTGAGTACTCTTTCAAACATCCAAGCCCTGGGACTCTAACTCAATCTTTTGGGTACCTCAGTGGCTAACCTTTCATGTTGTCTCTCCGGGGAGATTCTAACCCATGATCCTAGACTGGGACTCTAACCCACAATCCTGACGAGGTTACTAGACAATTTGGGCACGAGCGCATTTTAATGCGGTTACTCAAAAGACATCTAATCCAGAAGCTGTTTCTTTTCTCAAAAGTGAAAGCAAAAAGTAGCTCCTAGGAGCCTGGAGTGCCACGGTGGGGGAAGCAGAAGTCCAGCAGCTGAGCCTCTAGACAAACGGCTTTAGGTGGCCACTCAGGGTCAGCTGCCAGGGCCCATGTCCTGCTGGGGGCTACAGTGCCTTGGGCAGGTGGTCACAAGACCCAGATCTCTTTGTGGTTGCCAAAATTGTTAGTGAGCTGGGGCTCGCTGCCTTATACACAAAGAAGCCAATACCATGGCATCAGCTTTTGAGGAAAAAAAAAAAAAAGCTTTATGTGCAAAGTCTACTGACAAGAAGATAGGAGGCACCACTCAGATTTGTTTCCCGGATCCAGGTCTCGGGGCAGGATTTTATGGGGTTTCAGCAACAGATCGTCCTGGGTAATGGACCCTTTGCTTCTGAAAGCGTTCTGGTGTTAGGTTCCAGTCATGTCCCGGTCCTTTGGTTCCGTGTGGGGGAAGCAGTGAAGGGTTCACAAGTGTTACTCATAAATGGTGTATTCAAGGTTTAAACTTTGGCTCCAGGTCTTTTTAGATACAGGAAACGACATGTACGTGGCTCTGCAGTTACAGTTCTGGGAAAGTTGTTTAACTTCTCTAAGCCTCTGGTGTATCATTTACAAAATGGACATAATGCTAATACGTCCTTGGTATGATTTTTTATGAGGATTAAGTGACGTACACCTAAAGCACTTCGAAATGCCAGCACAGGTTAATGATGCTTTTGTAACCATTGACGTTGCTATTGCAGCATACTGTATGCCACAAGGCGACAGGATACAAGTGGAGACATTTCTCAGTAGCAGTGATCCACAGTGTTGGATGAAGGTGGCCTAATTCTGAAGGATGCAGAGAATCATAGTTATGTTTTTGAAAGCAGATAAGATGCTTTCTTACTTTCTGTTTGCTCGAAGAATAATTGTTTTTCTGTGTAGAAAGATTTAAAATGCTTTTCTGCCAAGAATTTATATTTTCAGAGGATAAGGTCCAAAGTGGTTTGTCTGAAATAAGGTAATGGATAGAAAAAAAAATTCTTAACATAATGTCTTAACATAATGGAACAAAGTAAGTGCCCAGCAAATATATATTGAAAGTTGAGGGAATGACTAGCAAATGTAATATGTAAATGTAAATGTAATAATAACAGCTAAAACTTAGTTTGCCTCTGTGCCAAGCACTTTGCTCCCTGAACCGTCTCCTTTCAGCCTCAGAACAACCCAGTGCCGTGGAATTTTAAGGGGTGGAGGTTACATTTGAACTCAGTTTAGGGTTAAAACAATAAACCTGAAGGACATTTAATACATGAAAAACATTTTACATGGGAAATAAGAAATGTGAGGAGTCAGGGGAAAGTAAATCCTAGGAGAAGGAAGTAAAAGAAATTCTAAATGTTTCTGTTATTTTCCCAGCTTGTAAACGCACTGAAAACAGTATCTACATTTGAAGTCCAGATTGTCGATTACAAGTATAAGTAAGTAATCACCCATGGGCCGACACTTGTCATCTTTTTTCATGGATGAGTTAATGGGGGACAGAAAGGATTTTTCACACTGGAGTTGTTGGCACTTTAGACCTGGTCAAGACAAGCAGATGCCATCAGTGAAAAAAGTGGGCAAGTGGAGACCCTGGGCACAGGGGCAGTTGTTCTTCAGCTGTACAGGGCCTGATGTTGCTCATTCTCATTTTTCAAGGGAAGCGATCCAGATTTTCATTAGAAATTTCTGAATTTTTTAAGTTGGCAACAAATTCTGAATTTAAAAAAATGTTGTAGGCCTAATTCACCCTGGTAGCTGCTAGGTTTCAACTTTTGACCTAAAATTAGTTACATATAAATAATTTGAGTGTCATAAAATAATATGAAAGGTTTTGAAATATAAAAAATTTGTTTCTTTTAAAATTCTGATGCAGTAAAGGGCTTACAAAGACAGAATGTTGCATCACTTACTAAGTGACCCCAGTCTATATAAACCAATAATGCTGTAAAGGTGATTCTTATTGGAAACTCAAGCCATACAGGAAAGTTCCAAAAGAAAGGTGAAAACATTTGTCTTCTCATCTCATCCACCCACAATCATAGTCTTGTTTTCCAAATTAAACACTAATTACTTTCAGTTTTAAAAAATATACATATTACCAGGATGAGAGTGCCTAATTTAGACAGGTTTAAACTTATTGGTAAGCATGGGAGTTTTGCATTTCACTCATCATACATTTGTGTTTTCATACAACAAATCTTTATTGAGTGCCTGCCATGGGCTGGTCACAGGCTTCGCAGTAGGAGTCCAGTTTTAGAGGATGGCAAGGCTCTTGTCTTGAATACCTCAGACACTCAATACAAATAAATAACAATTGTAAGAACAGCTACCATGTATTGAGACTTACTATTATGCTTTACTTTATCTCATCTCATTCAGGTTGGCAAAGCTATTCCTACAAATTACACTGCCGTGGCGACTACCCTCATTGCCACATGAAAAATATGGGAAGCAAGAAGGGGTCAGGCATCAGGCTGACAAAGTGGGAAGGGCATTTCTGAAACTCTGTCATTGACTGGCTTTTAAGCATAAAAATTCAGACATTGCCAGTCTGAGAGCACTGTTAGTAACATAATTACATGGAGATTTGTGAGGCCTGACCCACAGGCGTTTCTCGTAACTGGCGACTCCACGGTGTATTCACCTGGGCGAGTGCCCACCCCTCCCTCAGCATCAGTTGGTATTCCTAGAGAAACAGAAGCCCGTGTGCCTCGTGCGAGACACAGTGGTGCCTGTTGTCCTCCTTTCCCTGTGTGGGTGTGGGCTTTTTGTTGTACTGTGAGAAGAAGCTCTTTAAAGAGGAGAAGCTGACAAAGAGGAAATTCACTTTCCCTTCTTAGATCCAAAATAATCCTGTTTGTTTATTTTTCTTTACTTTGGGTAAGTAAGACTGGGAGATTAATTCCATTATGTTTATTCAGAGTGTTATCCTTACTCCAGCATTTCTTCCCCGACTCACTTCAGTGAACTTTTTTGGTAATGATTTTGGTTCAGAGTTTGAACATCTTTCAGTGTCTTAAATTCAAAGGACACTTCTGTAATCCTAACATGCATAAAATTGTGGGTTAGTCTGTTGCAAAGGCAAGAAAATGCTTAGTGTTATTGAGATAGTGTTACTTATTCAGATGGCATTGAATAACAACTCACACAAGGAGGAATTTATTTCCTTTTTTTAAAAAATCATTTTATCATCTTAAGGAAATTTTGGTTTGGTGCTAGTATACCATAGCATCTCTTCAACACTTGCTAATTTTAGTTTTTCGTAAAGAGAGAGCAGGTGTCAGTCTCAGATAAATACAAAGAATTTACCTTGCAATGGTATTTACCTAGATTTGAATAATACTTTTTAGTTTGATTATGTCTATTTTTACAGTTTTATGTCATGTGCTACTGATTTTCCATTCAAGACAGCTATGACATTTGCTTCTAAAATAAATGCATAAGTTTTTTAGAAACTGAGTTTACTTAGAAAAAAAGTTAAATTATTGAGTCATCAAGTTTTTAATTACTGGAGTAGGCTTGAAATTGTCAAAAATAGGCATGGTGGAATGTGATTTAAATCGGGAAAGACATTGTGTAAATATTGTTACTATGAGTCATAGTCCTATGAGTCATGAGCTTAACTCAATTTATACTTTCTTCTCTCCATCTGTCTTTTGTTCTGTATGTTCACAGGGAACTTGGGTTTTTAGATCAGCTAAGAATCACTCATAACACGGACATATTTATTGGAATGCACGGAGCTGGTCTGACTCACTTACTTTTCCTTCCAGACTGGGCTGCTGTATTTGAACTGTAAGTGTTTGGGGACAGTTTTACATTGAGGCAGCTCATAATGCTCTTTATACATGCTCAGACTCACTCAGAGCATCAAAAGGCTTAGTATTTAATCATATAATGTGACAGGGAAGTCACATTATAAGTAGGTGGACAGAAAAAAAGACCTAAAGGTAAAAAGGTAAAGTCTGCAGACTGCCATTACTCTTAGCAAGCAAACTACCTTCTTTTCCCCATGTCTCAGCATGATTTGCGAGATGTGGCTACGTTTTTTACTCTGAGTTCATTCCTATGTGCCTCTTAAACTGTGAACATTTTCCTGCATTTAATATAATTTTTGTGTTAAAACAGAACCTGTATATTGCACACCCATGTTCATAGCAGCATTATTCACAATAGCCATGACGTGGAAGCAACTCAGATGTCCACTGACAGTTGAATGGATAAACAAAATGGGGTATAATATATATACAATGGAATATTATTTAGCCTTAAAAAAGAAGGAAATCGTGTCACATGCTACAATATGGATAGACCTTGAGAGCATTATGTGAAGTGGAATAAGCCACTCACAAAAGGACAAATACTGTGTGTGTTCACCTCTACAAGGTCCCTAGAGTCGTCAGATTCATAGAGACAGAAAGTAGAATGGTTGTTGCCAAGGTGTGGGTTGCAGAGGAGGAGTTAGTGTTTAGTGGGTACAGAGTTTAAGTTTGCAAGATGAAAAGTTCTGGAGATTGGTTACACAATAATGTAAATATACCTACTACTACTACTACTAAACTGTACAGTAAAAACAGTAAAGATGGTAAATTTTATGTTACCTGTTTTCTACCACAGCTTAAAAAAAAGAGTTTGAGAACCTAGGTGTCTCATGAAGAACATAGCTCCAAAACACAAGCCAACCACTTTGCCTAGTGCTCACTGATTCCACACCCATGGACACTGACGCCTTGGGGTGAAAATGAATGTCCTGGGCGCTTCTCTAACTCAGCAGTGGGCCTTCTCTCCCTTAATAATTCTATGCCATGTCTTATCTTTAGTTCTTGACACAGCACTTGTTACCAGCTTTCTCTTCTTTGTACCTGAATATCTTGATTTTTATGGTGTCACTTTAAAAATGACTTGACTCAGTATTTAAATGGAAGACTATTTAGAAAAAGTTGTCATGAACTTCCAATACCATGCCAAAAATTTTAAAAATATGCGTGTTGGAGAAATAGCCAGTTAATTGTAGGTTTTATCTCAATTCTTCATTTCTCCTAGAGACAGGGAGGAAGGGAAAACAGGAAGGAAGGAGGAAGTAGAGACATGCAACTGAGAAAGCTCAGGCCTTGGAGTTCAACAAACCTGGGTTCGGTTTCTGCTTCACGAGCTCTATGACCTTGCATGTGTTACCTACCCCAAGTTCACTTCCGTACATACAAAGATGGGTATTATGAGATGATATCAATTTCACAGTTAGTCAGCCCTGTTGATAAAGGTCAGTCTCTTCCATTCTTTTCTGTTTTTTAAAAGTTAAGGTAATCTAGTTATAAGAATATTTTTTTTATTAAAAATTATTGGGGTGACATTGATCAACAGAATCCAATAAGTTTGAAGTGTAAATTCAACAATTTGCTGTGTATGTGTTTGTATTGTGTGTTTATCACTCAGTTAGATTTCCTTCTATCACCAAATTTGACCCCTTTTACCCCTATCTTCTTCCCCGCTCCCTCCCTTCCTTCTGGTAACCACTAATCCACTGTCCATGCCCATGAGTCTGTTTGTCATGTTTGTTTGTTGTTTCAGTTTTGTATCCCTCATATGGGTGCTTTATGGTTTTCAACTTTTTCTGTCTTACTTTGCTTAGCATGATCATCTCAGGGTCCATCCATGTTGTCGTAAATGGCAGTATTTCATCTCTTCTTATGGCTGAGTAATGTTCCATTGTACATATATACCACAGCTTCTTTAGCCAGTCATCTATTGTAGACACTTTGGTTGCTTCCATGTCCTGGCCACTGTGAATGATGCTGCTATGAACATAAGTGTGCAAATATATTTTTGGATATATAATTTCAAGTCTTTGGGGTAAATACCCATTAGAAGGATTACTGGATCATATGGTAGATCTATTCTTAGTTTTTTGAATAACCTCCATACTGTTTTCCACAGTGGCAGTACCAATTTGCAGTCCCACCAGCAGTGTATGAGGGTTCCTTTTTCTCCACATCATCCCCAACACTTATTATTACTTGTCCTGTTGATGACAGCTATTCTAACAGGTGTGAGATGGTATATACTTGTGGTTTTGATTGATTTGCATTAAATCCAGTAGGAGTTGCAGTGGGTATGGATAGAAAAAGATTGGATATTAGGCCCTTATCGGAGGCACTGCTTGGAAATATATTTTCCCATTCGGATGGTTGTCTCTTTACCTTGTTGATAGTTTCTTTTGCTGAGCAGAAGCTTTTTAGTTTGATGTAGTCCCATTCATTTATTTTTGCTTTTACTTCCCTCACCTTTGAGGTCAAATTCATAAAATCCTCTTTAAGTCCAAGGTCCATAAGTTTAGTTCCTATGTTTAATTCTATGTATTTTATTGTTTCAGGTCTTATATTCAGGTCCTTAATCCATTTTGAGTTAATTTTGGTGTGTGGTGATAGACAACAGTCTAGTTTCATTCTTTTGCAGCACCATGTAGGGAAGAGGCTTTCTTTTCTTCATTGTTATGTTTTTGGCTCCTTTGTCAAAAATTATTTGCCCATATAAATATGGGTTTACTTCTAGACTCTCAATTCTGTTCCACTGGTCAGTGTGTCTGTTTTTCTGCCAATACCATGCCATTTTGATTATTGTCGCTTTGTAGTATAACTTGAAGTTGGGCAGAGTGATGCCTTCAGCCTTATTCTTTTTTCTCAGGATGGCTTTGGCAGTTCGGGGTCTTTTGTGCTTCCATACAAATCTGATAATTTTTTGTTCTATTTCTTTAAAAAATGTCAATGGGATTTTGATCGGAACTACATTAAATCTGTATAATGCTTTCGATAATAAGGTCATTTTAACTATGTTGATTTTTCCAGTCCAAGAACATGGACTGTTTTTCCACTTCATTGTAGTTTTTTAAATTTCTTTAATAGAGTCTTATTAAAGACTCTATTATTCCTAGATATTTTATTGTTTAGGTTTATTCCTAGATATTTTATTCTTTTTGTTGCAATTGCAAAAGGGATCGTTTTTTCCATTTCTTTTTCTGACCATTCATTATTAGAGTATAGGAATGCTATGGATTTTTGAACATTGATTTTGTATCCTGAAACATCACTATATTTGTTTATTATTTCTAGTAGTGTTTAGTGGAGTCTTTAGAGTTTTCTATGTAGAGAATTATGTCATCCACAAATAGCGACAGTTTGTCTTCTTCATTTTCTACTCAGATGCCTTTTATTTCTTTCTCTTGCCTGATTACTCTTGCTAAGACTTCCAATATTATATTGAATAACAGTGGCGATAGATGCTATTATTTCTTTCTCTTGCCTGATTACTCTTGCTAAGACTTCCAATATTATATTGAATAACAGTGGTGATAGTGGACAGCCTTATTCCTGATCTTAGAGGAAAGGTTTTTAGTTTTTTACTGTTAAGTATAATGTTAGCTGAGGATTTGTCATATGTGATTTTCATTATGTTTATTATGTACTTCTATGCCTATTTTATTAAGTGTTTTAATCATAAATGGATGCTGTATCTTGTCAAAGGCTTTTTCTACATCTATTGATATGATCATATGATTCTTATTCTTTATTTTGTTTATGTGGTGTATCAAAGAATATTTTTAAAATAATCTCCCTCAGTCCTGTTCATTGTTTACATAATCTTTTGCAAGAACCTATTTGGAAGGTGCACTTTTTTCCCCAGAGAATTGTGGATTTGGAAAAATCCGCAGACAAAAGTCTCATGTGCGGATGCCCTTGTATTCTTAGGTACAATTGTGAAGATGAGCGCTGTTACCTGGACCTGGCCAGGCTGAGAGGTGTACACTACATCACTTGGAGAAGGCAGAACAAAGTCTTTCCTCAAGATAAGGTAAAGTTCAATGGCAAAACTCACTTTGTTTTGCTTTTTAATTGTTTAAATTATCTAATTATTAATATGAAAATCTATGATCGAACTTTAATCCAGAGATGAGCTGTTCTCTGGAAGTGAGTTGTTGTATCTTATATTTGCAGATTAGGGGAAAAAGGTAATTAAGCACTCTATCTCTTTAATGTTAATAAGCCAACATCATGAAATTTGGGCCTAGAATGATCTATTAAATTATATATAGAAGGGATCAGCAAACTGTGGACCAGTGGACCAAATCTGGCCCACCACCTGTTTTCATAAGTAAAGTTTTATTGGAACATAGTCTTGCTTCTCTGTTTAGGTGTTGTCTGTGGCTGCTTGAGCCCTTCAGTGGCAGAGCTGAGCAGTTGTGACAGAGAGTGTATGGTCCATGCAGAAAATACATGTTATCTGTACCTTTACTGAAGAACTTTCTGAATGTGAATTAAAATCATTGCTTTGGCCAAAGTAAAATAATTTTTTTTGTTCAGAAAACCATGCTCTCAATGACTTATAGATTTGTGTTCTCGTTTGTTTTTGCAGGGCCACCACCCAACACTGGGAGAACATCCGAAATTTACCAACTACTCTTTCGATGTGGAAGAATTTATGCACCTTGTCCTTCAGGCTGCAGACCACGTATTACAGCACCCGAAGTGGCCGTTTAAGAAAAAACGTGATGAGCTATGAATGTGTTGAAAGGAAATGTTTTAACACTCCGCCACTTATTCACAGTTAAATTAGTAAAACAACCAGGTATTTCTTAGCCCTCAAGTTATCTTTTCTATACCAAAACATATCTTCAGGATATTCCTTATGGGTTTTATAGTTTTTAACTGTTTGATGTGATTTTTGTGTCATTGCTATTTATCAAGATACTATTTTTGCACTGAAAACTTTAATTTTTATGATTCAAAAGTGGGCATGGCCTCGCCGATGTAACTGAGCTTTCTTTTTAGGGATACCAAAGTATTCAGCTTAGCTTTAGAATTTGTAAATGTTTTTATAGAATGCTGTGGGATTGTGATTCTGGAGGCTTCTAGCTTGTTTATAATATATTTGAGTAAATTCACAATGCCATAATTTATTCATAGAACTGATAGTGGTGGGAAAAGAAAACATGCACCACACGTGCGTGTGCGCACACACAGACACACACACAGACACACACACGAGTTGTGATTCTCAGTACCAAGCTATAGGACCATGTTATATATCAGTGAACTAACTCCCACTGAAATCTCTGCTATATCTTTTTCGTCAGCTCCAGGTAATATGCATCAAGAGCCTGAATGAATCATGCTGCTGTATTAATTTATGTTCATATATTTCATATATGCAAATCATGTTTTCCCAAAATGTAACAACTACATATGATAAAAAAATTAGAACATTCTTTAACACTGTTTTGTCTACCTTCTAGCTGGTTTCCACTGGTTTCTTCTTAGCTGTGGAGAGCATTTATATATCCAATAGTGGTTTCCATTATGCATGTATTTGTAACTGCATATACCTGTGTTTATGCATCTACCTCTTTTAGCATGGAAGTATTCCAGTATTTGATTTTGTTAACTTCGAATTAGCTACATGAAGAGAATTTTTCTCTGTAAGAAAATAGAGACCACTCCCCCCGCCAAAACACACATGTGAATTATCCAATTCAGAATGAAAAGGAAGCCATAAAAAAGTCCCATTGATTGAAAAGCATATCTGAAATGCAGTCCACTCTTAATGGGAATCATTTCTTACTGTTTAATCAACTTTCTATTTAGCAGTCAAAAGTCATGGATTTATTTTACTGCGAAAGATGATGTTTACATTTTATTAACACTTGAGTAGTCTAATTTAGAGACTAATGTTTATTTTTTAAAGTTTACTTTCAAAAATTAGCAGATTACACCAGAGCTAATATTTCCTTTTTCACATCTTAGAGTTATTTTTTAAAAAGAGAATATGTAACAGAGAATTGACCTAAGAAACCTAAAATATTTACTATCTGGACCTTTACAGAACAAGTTTGCTGCCCCTGTTTTAAAGGATTTTGAACAGTCTGTTAGAGTTTAGGAATATTTATTAAAATATCTACAAACAAAATAGTGAATTGCTATAGCAATAGCTTTGATCTGGACCTTAAAATGGTATAAAAAGGATTATAAAAATTTTTTTAATGAGTGATATTGCTACTGTTCTTTGTGCAGAACACTGAATACCTACTGGGAAAATATTTCACAAGGAGGGAATTGTAAAGGCAATGGTGCACTTTTAGTCGGAGAGATATATAAACATCTGAAAAAAATTTACCTCGTTTTAAGAAGCGTGTGGAAATGTGATTCTGTTTACTTGCTAGTAGTAGACTAGTGAGAATTTCAGAAATTGAGGACAGTTTAATAATAAAACTGTTATCTTTGCATATTTTGCATTTTAAGAGAGTATGTTTTATAGAAACCAGAAAGTACATTTGACACTTTATGAAATTTTATCAGACTTTTATGGTAGCAAAAAAATCTGCAAATATTATAAAATTTACAATGTAAAGACTGCTCTTTTTATTGTCTTTAAAAGAAATACATTTCATAGTTTGTACATTTTGGGTATGGCTTTGGAATAAATCTTTTTATATTTTATTTGAATACCAGAACATTTTCAAAGTTTTCTGTGTCTGAATGTTATATACTTACTTTTGGCAGTCTAGTAGCTCTAGATCATAACAATTAAATAGCTTGCTGAAGAATTCGGTTTAAATAAAAATTACACTTCACATATATTCAGCAGTTTATTATATGATACTTTCACAAATGTTATATTGCATAATCCTTACAAAGGTGATATAAGAATTATTCCCATTTTTCTTTTGAAGAAAATCAGATGCCGTTTAAGGGACTTCCTTAAAGATTACAGGTCTGATTCCACATCCATAGTCTTCTGTTCACTCGCTCACTTGTGAGTCAATAAATGTTAGCTGAGCAACTACTATGTACCAGTTACTATTCTAGGTTCTAGGGATACAGCAATGAAAAGAAAAGGAAAAAAAAGCCCTTGCCTTTATGGAGCTTGCATTCGGGTAGAGGAGACAGATATTAAACAACATAAAAAAGTAAAATACTGTGCCAGGTGTGATAATA